TCGAGACTTTCAATAGTGACAGTGGAGGTTCTTTTCTTCTTTTCAGTGGGTAACTAGGAGGGTTGGTATTTTTAATCTTCCACAAAAACCGCTAAAACGTTAAACATGAAGAATAACAGGGCTTTTGGAAGGCATATCTCGTGAATAAAACTTAGCAAGTGATTGGCAATTTTTGAAACATAATCAAGCCAATTACTGCTGAGTCACCAAAGGCTGACTTCCAACTCTATAAAGTCAGTCAAGCATTCGCTTCATTTGGAAGACCTTGAGGTTGACGTCGGAACCTAGTTTTGTACGTTACCCCAGTGAATTATTATGCATATCTACGTGCAAATAGGTGCCTAAGTTAGGAACATCACGCGAATAAGCGGTTTTATCTAAATCCGAGTGCACGGGATCCGTAGGGTGGCACACGTTATGTAGAAAAAATGTTTCGATAAACTTGGTCCGAAGTTACCTGGTGGCATAATATTAGGATTAGTCCATGTAAGAGGTGGTGCGATCTATGGTACGCGTCCAAGAAATGGAATGCATATAGGTAACGTTTGGATTTATAGTAAAGAACACCGTGACAAAGCCCTTTTAGTTATGTGATAACGGAAATAATGTGCTCAGAACAGGAAAGAACTCGGTTGAAGATAACAGCGGAATACTTAATGGATATTTGGCAGGTTATTATACGGCGACAGTACAGAAGAACCGTCAGCAATGTTATTATATTCAATAACGTTCTGCAAGGGCAGACAATATTTCAAACAGTTAGGGTTGCAAATTTTAGGCACATCGACGATATATGAGATAGCCTCCTGTATGTTGACAATATAAGGTTACTCGGAATAGCGCAGTCAGTAAATGACATCTTCCGCGTAGTAGGGGAATGTTTTGATATCACCAACTTACTTTATAGGTTTTAAGTTACCAAGTCAAAAAGTCAAGACATGATGGCACACCAATTGCGAAGAAAAACAGAAATAAATCATCATGAACAAAGGATGAATTGCTGACAAGTAACAAGGTATATGATGGAGGAGGAAATATCTATTTGCGGACGGTGAGATGGGAGATTTTATCTTCCATTACTACCAGTAGTATCACCAATAGAGTAAAAGTACATGCGAATGGATTCCCTCTTTTCTATCTAGCGCCGATTAATGCGTGACGGCGAGTAAAGGGCATCAACCTTGGGTCTTAGATAGGTAAACTGGTTGAGGTCAACGAGATTATTCTGAAAAATATAGAGAAGGTGTTTCTAAACATTTGAGGGTAAACCACATACAGACTAACGGATGAGATGCCCTTTATTCTGCTTCGGACCTGTCTTAATATTAGGAGCCCGACAAGCGTTGCAACTTTGAGCGATTGGAATTTAAATAGCATAAACCGTCAATACAGCATGTTCTTTTGACAATATACATCTTCTAGAGAAAGTCAGCAACGCTTATGGCAAACGTATTTGAATGGAGGAGGCCAAGGGTCGCAAGAGTTTTATTTCGGTCACCGTACTGGAGGTTAGCCAAGAATTTTATTGTTAAAGCAGCGAGCAAACTGTTTAATGTCCGAAAGAGGTGTAGATGACTTAGAGAAGACCAATGGATTTCCCGGCTGCACTTAAATTTTTGAAAGAGGCTCCTAGTAATTATTCTTTAACTACACGCGTTGAGTCATCAAACGTTGCGTTTCATGTTCTACGTGAGAGATCTTTTGACATGAACCTTTATATAGTCTTCCACCGCGTTTCTTTAGATAAGCCGACGGAAATGTAACCTGCAGGAATCTACAGAGTTTTACTTGGTCAGCAGGTTTCATAACAAAAATGCAGTGGATTAGGAGAATGAACTTTGGAACGGATGAAAAGGTATGCACCAAATGAAGCCAGTAATTGAGGATATGTCTGCTCTGTAAGTATTTCACTCCTGTTCGGATTGGGTAACACTGTACTAGACAAAATAGCATAGTTTTGTGTATTTCTGGCCCATGTTCTCCTGTGAAAAGTTACTTTTAAATGAAAACAAACCTGTTTGCAAGTGTTTGTGAATAAAATTCACAAATATTTTCATTTCTAAAGTTATTTATATTGACAGAATTTATTTAAAATACCCTGACGATAGATTTCGTTCACTCCCTTGGAACTATCTGATCACCTATTCTCATGTCATATGTGGTGCAGGATACCCTTTTAGGAGGGACGGTTGTCGGTACTTGAACAAACCTGCAGTTGGCTATGATGTGCTCTAGGTTTGCAACTTCATCCGTGGTTTTTTACACCTAACTCATAAAAAGAAAAACAGTGATTTTTACGGGTTTCGTATATAAGCAATTCTTTCAAAATGAAAATCAAGAGAGATTTTTCAGGTCACTGAGATTCATTCACCGCCGGACTGACTTTATTTTCTTTATTTTCCACCGTTCTGATGCTATTATTGGTTATACGTGCGCGCAATGCACGTTCATGCCTTCGTGATTTTTCTCCTGCTTAGCAGTCTGAAACACATTCGCTATTTCACAATTGTTAAACGATTTGTTCAACGATAGTACGCAAATGTGTCTCCTCCCGCCCCCACAACCGAGACCGCCACTATTCATCTATCGACTTTTATCCCTCCTCCTATCACTCACTATCAGTAGCTCCCTTAGCCATTTACACATCCCTCGTTTCCACTTTGCGCTTGCACTATCCCACCCCACCTCCCACCCCGAATTGGACTCACTAGCGCTTAACATGAGCATAGCCTTACTGGTAAGCGTCAAGCGTTTTGAATTCCATGAGTCGAGTGCCGGAGTTGAAGCGAAGTTCAGTCGCCGGAATCTTCATGATCCGGTCAACTGAGGACAAATGGGCGATCTTTACAAACCCTTATTATTTTCATCCCGTTTGTCCCATGGGTATCGAAAATGATAGTTTTTTCCACGCGCATCGCAGGAGTGGACAAAATAATCTTTCATCTTTCATATTTTCATTTTACTTCCTTTTATTCAATATACAAAGATACGATTTTCAGATAGAGGGAAGCGACCAATCAAAGGACTGTGATACAACATACAGAGAATGGGTAAATTTAAGCGGTGGTGGTGGGATTCGAGCACACATCCCCGGGGTGATAATTTGGTGACGGTACCACCCGGCCACCTCCGTGAAACACACAGCGTTGGAATATTTATTTAGGTTGGACGGCTTTTGCGTGCCCTAAGCGGATGGCGTCTGATTGAAAATGATGAAGTTCATCAGTGTAATTGTCATCTATGACGGGAATTTTATGACTACTGTTATTTTCTGTTTGATCGACATAATTTCATGTGTTTTATTAATCCGAATTTTGGAAGATGGAATATGACCGAAACGGTACACTATGTTCATAACTTGTGAATATATATATATGTATATATATATATGTATATTATTGCGGTACTGCTCCCTGGAATCGAATTATTTTTTCTCAACTTTGCAGTAGCAAACTACTGAATTTGTTCGGCAAAATTCATTTTGGTTTACGATAGTAAAGAAACCGCAACAATATAAGAAGACAGTTATAAAATTCCTTCCTGACAAAAATGTGGCCTATGGTCGTATTGGTTTAGAAACACTGGAGAGGGAAAATGGCACTGCCCATGGTTGTCAACATTGTGCATTATATTTATTACGAACTGAAGCGGATTTCCTTTCAGCAGACTTCCTAGCTTAACCACCACTGAAAGGAGTTGTGAATATGTTTTACCTTCGCAAACTTCCTTTGATTAGTTTATTCTAGTGGAGAAGATTTGATAGATTTATATTGATCTTGCTGATGTTGTCTAAATCAGAATACGCTTATTCCATTTCGAGTGGTATATCGCTTGATGCCAACAGTTTACCATTTCTTTAACTAGAAACACGAGGTTTCCATAGAAAGGACCCCTTCTCTTTACCCTCACCGAAGTGTTACTGGTACACCAGCTTGACTCACCCGAGGAAGAAACATCAATGAGTAATTATAACAGTTATTCAAATAGCACAGTCCTTCAGCAGCCCAATATTTGAATAACATAGCATAAACGCCTAGCATTACGTTGAGGAGTAAATCCGTTTTTATGTCTTGTAACATTTCGGTCATCCATGCTCTATGCACTTTGATTTATGTGATTGAGATGTAAAAGGCAAATGCAACCTTTTTCTGCATAACCCGGAACCAAAGTATTTCATCTGATATCATAGAGAAATCAACACAATAGGAATCAGATGATTTTCTATTGTTAACATTCATCCTACTGAAGCTTGTTTCCTGCATTCGTAAAAAAGAACGTCCTAACGAGGTGCTTCTTCTTTCCGGTTTTGCATCAACGTAAGGAATGTACGTCGAACAATTTACTGCTGATCTCCGTGAAACTATAGTTTTTCCTTCGATATTTTTAACTTGCCACCACTTATATTAATAATAATAATAACAAAAAACATCAAGCTTTCTAGTTCGAATTTCTGGAGCTCGAGCTCAGTGTTTCGAATGATCCTCGTGCGTCACGTGACTGTCACCAACCGAATTGCATGGATATTTCCGGGGTCCTGGTTATAATCAACGTCACTTTTAGCTTTTAAGTGCGATGGAAATGCTTGTGATAATCTACAAAAAGCAATGGACAGCTGTTTTGTCCTGTTTGGGACTCAACAGCAGTGCGTACGTTTTGTGGCTCCGTCAAGTCTCGAACCGCGATTCCCCATTGTTTGAATGGATCTCCCATAAAAGTGAAATCCACATCCAACATCATCAACAACGCCTGGTGCCTGTGAAAAATCAAATGGGCTAATCCAAACATTCATCATCTAAATTAATTTAACCCATTCGAAAACTGGTTTAATTCGACAAACTTGACCAGTGGCTTAACGGTACAAAGTTTTTTTCCTAGGTTTTTAAATGAAATCGATATTTGGTTTGCGGATAAACAGTAATTGGAATGTGAATCATGAAAAAGCCCACAAATACCAGATGCCATTATGTCAAAAATAACGCCGATCACTCCGACCATTTCAGACACCCCATTCCAAGTTGGTACCATATCAGCATGAAAATGTTCCGTGAACGTAATACAGTTGGTCGACGAAAGATGTGCCGGGAATCAGGAGCGGATTCAAAGGTGTGTTCAATGCGGAACAGGAATCTGGCTTACTACTACGAGCGATCACTGAACGAACAATGTGGACGTAATGTGAGTGAGTTTGGTTTGTTATCTATATAGATACTCAGTAATAACGCCGATTGTTTTACTAAGCCCCCATTGCACGGTATTTTAAAGTAAACATCTGCAAACGATCAAATCCTTGCATACCTCAAGGGCTAAAAGAGCATTAATCCGGTAGAATTGCCAACGTCGATGATTATATGCTTCCATAAAAACATCCCTCGTTGTTACTTAGCACTGCCGTTTGATTTTTATTTGTTTAAATCAAAATTTTGACATTTTACTGTAAGACATATTTGATATAACCACTGGTTTTACAATAAGAAGAAATTCCTTGATTGAATATCCGCAAATGTTTTCTTTCTACTCTGGTGATCTTTTATGTGGTTTACCACATGCACTTCACAATTAGTAAACAACAAAGGTTCCATACTATGCGGGTTTTTTTCCAATTTTTGTGTAATTCTCTTTGAACAGGCTTCTATGAGTGCCCCAACAGTTTTGGGTGTTATTAAACATTCGTAACTGAGACTTTTGTACTAAGCTTGCCGAGTTTGAATACACCTACTTTAGGTTGTTGCGACTACTTCCTTGTGCTCTGGTATATGCTACTTGCCGAGACCAAACCAGGTCTAAACAGTTATACGTTGTCTTCTTTCGTTTTAGTTTATTTTGTATCTACCCAGGGTGTAGTAAACTTTATGAAAGAAACTAAATAGTATTCCTTAAAATGAATTCTACAAAACTAGTAATTACATTTCTTTGAACATCGCGAAGAAAACAACTCCGAGTATTCATGATTGTTTACTTTGAAAATTACCAAATATAGGAATGATGCAATAAGTGGTATACACAAAACATGTGAAATACAAAAAAGTGGTGTTTATAGGCCTCCGAAACGGCACCGAGTTTATTTATAACTGTTATATTATCTTGTATATATTCCAGTGGATCCTGTAAATGTAGTGAAATGCTTTGGTACTAAAAGGCTTGTCTGAAACGACAGAATGTATGTGTAACGAACAGTGACTCAGGATTTGTCATTCAGAAGTGAAGAAATCTGATTAACGTTGATTTCGTACCGAGTACCCTATATCCACTAGATTTTCCAACCCTAATAGAGGGAGGAATTGAGGGCCGCCTTGTTCTTGGCTCACATCTACTTTTCTAGTGATACATCGAATGCGCAAATTGTCTTCTCGTTCTGTTCACACAGTTATAACTGTTCCCGGGGTAATCACTCCGGGCAGTATGTTAATGTGACATTTTACAAACTCAAACCGTATCCATTGAATAATCCCACAAATTTGTATGTCATATTTCCTCGAAACTTTATGGGGATTTGTAAAAGGTTACTGAAAAATAAATCTCTCTAAATAATTCACTTGCGACACCAATAGAGTAGTAATAATGTATACTTTCAGGCTACCGATGCGATCTGAAAATGATTCTTTTGTATCCACTGACCTATTCGTCTCAAGCTCGCGCAAACTCCTTAGGGAGCACAATATATCACTACCATATGTTTAGGATACCTTTTTCATTTTATGATCAAATTGTGTCGTATGAATGAGAGTATGTAACACATTCCAAGACATCCTAAAAGTATTGGACAAAATGAAGATTTCAATTGCTTTACCAGTATTCTTAATGGAGTATGTTACACTTGATAACCAGATAGCAATAAGATATTACGCAAACATAAACTTCAGTTGGGCAAATTAGTAATGATTAATGTGTACGATTTCATGCTATTTTTTTCTGCTAAAATTCTTCCAATTGGTCGTAATAACCGCAGTTACTGGCTTTGACGTGTCTTGAAGGTATTCGTGGCGAGACAGATTTGAGCAACCTACCAATAGTTAGACAGATTACATCCGGTCCAAAGAAAGCACAATTCAATGCTGAATAGATAGCAGTTTCCATTGGGATTCAAAATGCAAATATTTTCTTATAAACTGTGCAAATTGTAAAACAGATTCAACCTAGTATCGCGTTGCAACTAAATACGAGAGCTTCCAACGAGGTTTAGTAATCGTAACTGTAATAGGATACGCGCATACAGTCCGGCAAAACATGAGTTAGTGGTAAATTATCAAACTATAAATTCGTATATAGTATTTTAGTACAACATCCAGACATTATTTTCAGATCAGAAGTTCTGGCCAGTGGTGCTATTCCGTTGACGTGTATTCTATATTTTTAGGCAAAATGGCACATTTTAGTAACATAAATTTAAACACTTATACTGAGTGTGTTTACTTTCACTCATTTTGGATTAAAATTAAAAATTAAAAAAATAGTGTCATAACAATTGTAGTGGGATCTTAACCAAGCAAACAAAACAGAATATAACTGCGGATTTTTGTACTTTCCTAATTGTTAAAGTTTAGCCATACCTCATTCACGAAGACAGAATGTTAGCACAGAGTAAAACACTTCACCTGAAAAAGAGATCCTAAAGTAGATTTTGAATATGACAAGATAAACAGATTTTGAAAGTCCGCATAAAGGAGGCAAACATGAAGCCTACCTTTTTGTAGATGTATGAGTGCATATTTCGTTGGAGCCCTGATGTGAGTTCAAGGGACTTTATATCTCGGTTTCACATATGATCTTGATACATTTCACACATGTTAACAAATATTTATTATCTCGAAATCGTATCCAGATTTTGTTACGCTTTTGCTTGGCGTTTTCAGTTGTGAATCCCTTCTGAATTTCCAAATATTAAGAATTACTAAATTGCAGAGGGGTTTCAGATTTTGTTTATTGGCATGACAGAAACCGTCATATAAATTATTCCTGGTATGAGGTTCGACTTAAGCTAAGTTTTAGAAAATCGATAGAAAAATGGAGCAAGCTGACGAACCAGGTCAATTACGCAGCCCAACAAATGAGCTTCTGTCACATTTTGAGATTAAATGTTGATAGCCACTCAACTCCATGCTTGTCGATGCACAAATGAGACACTCTTCGCGATTTGAAGCGTGCTATTTCGGAGAGAGAAATTGTGACCCCTCCCGAGAGTGATGGAATAATTGGAATCTGTGCGTGCGCAACGATTGGAAGATGTCATACAATTTATTTCATTGGTTGGTGAAGAATTACTTGGTATCAAAGGTCTATGTGAACAGCGAAAATGTGTTGATCATGATTGAGGATGCTTGGGTAATGAGAGATAAACCATTTTTCTGGTTGAGCTACATAAATCCATCGAAATTATGTATAATTATTGCAGTTGGATTACGGAAACCGATGTGGTCTCACTATTCATTTGGATACAAATTTCGGTTCTATCAGATACAGAACAATAAACAGCTCTTCTGCAAAATAACCCAACACACTCCCATCTCACCATGCTTAAAGCAAATGAAGCGTGAATCGTGAAAAGCATGAAAGCAATATACATCACAATCAGGTGTGTAGATACATCGACTCAAATGGGGATCGAACTCGGGAGGTAGTACGCCACTATAATACACATCCGACCACCAGGTAACCAATCAGATAGGATTTGTTTTCGGTTTATATTTGAACCATTTAAAATAGTCCCTATTTGCAGATCTATTGTTGTGCTCGCACCTGGTTTGTTTCAGTACTAGTTGAGACCCCATCAGAACAAATTAACTCGAAGCGCATCCTAGGTTTTCAATTCTTCCTTTATTTGCTTTATATGCGACCGTGTCTATCATATAATTGAAATAAATCTTTCGCTAATATCAAAACATTAATTAGTTGAATACTTTTATATATCATATATGAACATACATATATATATATATATAACATAAACATTTAATTCAAGGCAATCGCTCCGTTGTAGAATTCTTAAAACGTAACACGATGATGGGCTTCTGAATGCGTCATCGCTTGTTTTTATCATAACATTTTGGATAAATTGTTCTGTGTTACGTCAGGCAAACCGTTGAAATTTCTGGGAGTAAAAGGAACGAGTTACACAGTATTTAGTGAATACCTGATAACCTGAGTGTCTAACACGAAGGAAGCTGAACCCCGAAAACGCATAACCCCCTTCTAGGAATACTGGAATTGAAAAATTATATGTATGTTTGTATCTGTTTATACAAAAATCGTTCAAATACTTTGGAGATTCATTTAGTTTAGATAAATGAAGGTTAATTTCAAATTATTCAACATTTATTCTCAGTACATCAAAAACTGAAGAGGTTCAAATAATGAACCTTGAATGAAAACAACAACAACTACAACTCCTCTTCGCGATCCAACTATGACTCCACAACCATGTCGTTCAAGTTTTTGCATGGTATGCGTAATGGGCATCATCACCTGTCCAGCTTTGTTTCAAAATTCGAGTTCTATGGATATTATGGATATTATTGTAATGCCCAAAACGAAGTGATATTTGCGATTCATGTGGGGAAATTCGACATTGCTTTAGTAGTAGCGTGGTTTGGAGAATATTTAAATGACACTTCAAAGCACATAAGTTTCATTGATATTTGAAATTTCCCTAACACTAAATGAAGTTTGACGTTCAACCCAAAGGCAAACTGAACGAAGTCCACTTATCAAGAAGTGAAATAATTTAACTTTCCTCTCTCTCTAATATATGTCACTACTGGAGAAGAAAACTTTGTACTCCTTGACCGACATCTCCAGGCTTCTGATATAGTCATGTCCGAATACTAAGGTCGACAAACGACGTTTCTTTTTTCGTTGCTTAGATTTGTGAGAAGAGGTCCAAACGCCACCTCAAGTGTCGGGCCACTCAGACTTCATTCATCCAAAATGAGTGATTCTGAAGAGTTTTTATTGCGCCTTGTGAAGCAGAGCGGATGGACCGAGATGCAGACTGTTCCCCGTTTGGGACTAACTGATATACAGTTCGTTAAGATGAGAAAACGTTACAAGAGACACGCACAAAATATAGCTTCAAAGAGCTTTGTCTGTGGTAACCACATCTGTTGCATTCGTCGACCAAGGATAATAATCGAGGTTACTTCCCGTTTCTACTAATTACGTTCATAGTCCAAGCGAAGAAT